GTTATTTCTTTTTTCCCCTTCTTGTTGTGTACTGTCAAATCAGATCCAGCTGGCACAGGCGTAGACTGACCCTCCTTCTCCAGCGGAGCACCTGGTGGATTCAAACAGTGTGCCTTCGGGACTGCAGCGCAGCTTCTTACCACTAGGCCACCAGAGCTCCCCCCCTTTTTTCCCATTTTTAATAATTGATATCTCCACTGAAACATGTGTGGGAAACACAGGACTATTTCAAATTTACTGAGTAAAAGAAATAACAATGTATTGTAGCTCCTGTTCAAGCAAGGACGTGTTTTCCTATATTCCATTACACTGTGTTTCCGAGTTGTGAAAAACTTGAAGCAGCGACTTTGAAAGAAAACAAACTACAGACTCATTCAATCCTATTCTTGAAGACTTAAGAATTTGATGAGGTCCGTGTATGTTCACAGTTTTAAAAAATTAAATGACACAGGAGTCCCTAGTCTACCTCTTCTTTCACTCCCCCCAACTCCTCCCCGGCTCGGCAGAGGCAACTTTTTTTTTTTTACTTCTTTTCATCATATAACTTTTTTTTTAAAAAAAATAGAATGTTACCAAACCACAATTTTATTTTGTGATTTTTACATAAATCTGAAATGATAACCTATTACAAATACTTGATAAATCAAGTAGAAATGATTTTTCTGACGTTTGTACAACTGATACAGATCACTGATAACATTTATTATTTTGTCATCACTTGCTACTTCCTTCAAATTCAGCAAACGGCTGGTGGAACATTTCACAGAGTTAAAATGGCTTGGCTGCATTAGAGAATTAAATTTTTAGGGTCTCATAAACGTGGGAAGACCTTCGGCATTTTCTACCAGCAGCACAGAGTATAAAAGAATATTGTTGGTGACTGACTGACTAGTCGTCATTATGAGACATCGACACAAAACTGCAGGATAATACCTGGCCTCCGGCATGTTTTCAGAAGCTGTAAATTGCACAGAAGGAGATAGTCAATTTTTCTCCCTCAGAGAAGCTGGTGAATTCAAGCCATCTGCCTGCGGCAATTCCTTACCACTATTAGGACACCAGCGCTCCCTAAATAACTACTAGAGTTCAGATTACAGGCTGCCATATAATTATACCATACTGCTGAGGATTCGTCCTATAACCCTTGTTTCTGTGCCTTCTCTGGGGGTGGTTTCCCTTCCTCTTCTGCACCTCTTCTTCTAGCTTTTACCCTCTGCAGGCTTCTGGTCTCCAGCTATGACGGGTAATTATTTGAGCTCAGTTGCCACATTCTTCCCTCCTCTCCCAATTTGCTCCTATCACTCTTTATAACACCTCCGGTCTTGACCTTGACTTTAGTGTCTTGTTCTGTCAAGCACCCTCAGGGTCGTCAGGTCCTGGCCTGTGAGATGGGAGCATGTGGGGGCGCTTGGGGATGAAGGGTGTCAGCCCGGCTGTGCGTGGCAGTCCCGCCTCTCACCTTTGGCTGATTTCTATGGTCTGCTCCCAGTCCTGCCTGGCCAAGAACAGCCGCATCTTCAGGACAAAGGCCGGGAGGAAGTCGGGTGAGGACACGGTGATCTGGTTCACCAGCTCCAGGGCCCCGGAGTAGTTCTGCTGCATCAGGAGATAGGTTGCCTGTCAAGAAAGATTCTGTCAGTCACCCCAGTCAGAGCAGGAGAGGGGAGGCGGGCAGCCTGTGGGTGTCCTGCAGGACAGGAGAATGTGGGCATAGTGGGCCTCTCAGCTGGGCCCAGGGGTCCTCAGGCCCCGGCAGCCCCTCAGGGAGGGAGGCATAAATCAGGGCAATAAATGCAGGTCCACAGAGGCCTTGAGTTTCTGGCTGGGTCAAGCCAGTGCTCCAGGGAGATGGCAGAAGGCTCGTCTTGGGACACTTAGAAGGTCTGCTGCTGTTAGGTGCCATCGGGCCCACTGCGACTCATAGCAACCCTCCGCACAACAGATCTGAACCTTGGCCCATCCTGTGCCATCCTCACCATCCCTGATACAGTCGAGCCCGTTATTACAGTTACTGTTATCAATCCATATTGTTGAGGGTCTTCCTCTCCTTCACAGACCTGCATCCTCCCCAGTATAAGGTCCTTTTCTCAGGACTAGACTTTCCTCACAACATGCCCAAAGCTGGTGAGAGCAAGTTTCAGCATCTGCCTCTAAGGAGCACCCTGGCTGCGTGTGAGGACCCCCGTGAGGGGCAGGGCTGGGGTCCCGGGGCACCGTCCAGTTCTACAAGCTGCCCATCCAGTCGCCATCCACTTTCCTGAATTTGGCCCCTGAAAGCGGCTTTGCCGGCCCTCTTGCTGTGTAACCGCCTCCGATTCCTGACCACTTGATGTGTTACAGAGCAGCTCCGTGCTCCACTGGACTCAACGGGCGATAAGCTTTACCTGGCCGATTGCCAGGCCTTTCTTCCACGGAGCCTCTGGGATGGTTTTGTACCATCAACCTTTTGGATAGTAGTTTGTACCACCGAGTATGTGAAGAAAAACTGCTCATTGGGGCTCAGTTTGGCACCAGTGGGTCAGGAATGCATTGTGGGAAACTGCACCCAGGCCAGGGTTGGTTTGTTTTATTGAGGGTTTTTTTTTTCCAGGACCCCTAAAGGCCAGGTCATGGCCTCTGCCAGGCACAGTGCCAGCCCTGCTCAGGTCATCCTGGACAGATCATAACACAGGTGCCTGAGGGACAGTGGGCAGCGTGTCTGAGACGGCTGAGCTCTGAAAGGACAGCTGGGGAGAAACACCTAGTAACCCTCCACGAAGAGGCTGCTCGTCAAAACCCAGAGGAGACGTTCTAAATGGAGACGTCTGCGTGGATGCGTTCATGGTAGTGCTCTTCCCAATTGTGCAAAACTGGAGATACATCCAAAATCCAACAACAGGGGATGGGTTTAGGAAATCACACTGTGCCCATACAACAGAGCTTTACAGAGCTGTATGAAATGGTATATGCGGGTGAGGAAACAGCGACAGGGAAAGAGAAGCCAAGCATATGCCCCGTGGTTAAGAGGACAGTGACAAGCATGACCATCATCTCCCATCTCCCTGCAGAGGGCGCTGTGCAGAGGCTCTGGACCCAGGAGAGCCTCCCTCCTGAGCTCACCTGTGGCCAGAGGAGCAGCCTCCTCCAGGGTCTCGCACCTCTCTCCCCAGGGGCAGCCCACTTTCAGAGGCTGGTCCGGGAGAGTGTGAGGCCAGCTGAGCTCCAAGGCTCCCACTGGATCCGGATTTGCTAGAAGCGACAGATCTGAATCATGTTCCCTTCCCAAATACGTGTTTTAAATCGTGTTACCTATAACTCGAATCCCACCTATGGTTTGAATTCGGGAATTGCTATTGTGTGCCAATGATTTGGAACCAACCCACAGAGGACCCTTTAGTGGGTTTTCTGAGGCAATCAATCTCCTGGGGGGAGACTGCCCCTTGCTGCAACCTTGGAGCAGCTCATGGATTCAAACTGTGTGCCTTTGGGACTGCAGCATGGTTTCCTAGCACTAGGCCACCAGAGCTCCCTCATTTGGGAATAGGGCTTCTTTTTTAAAAAAAAATTTTTTTATTATTTTTGTGAGTGTACCGTCAAATCAGATCTGCCTGCTGCAGGAGGAGATTGTCCCTCCTTCCCCGGCAGAGCATCTGGTGGATTCGAACCGTGCGTCTCTGGGATTGTAGTTGTAGCTCCTTGCCACTAGGCCACCAGAGCTCCCCCAATAGGGTTTCTTTTTATGTTAAGAAAACAACGTGAGGGTAGCGTGTTTTGCATGAGTCTCTTGAGAATTTACAGGGCAGCTTAAGGAAGCTTCCAGCAAGGACAGATGGGTAACAAGAGGGCCTGCTGCAGGACAGTTCCAGGGAGCCAAGGACCACAGAGGGAAGAGGGAAGGATCTGCCCAAGTCCACAGGGAGAGAAAGCCTTTCCTTGGGGCCGGCACCCTGAATTTACACTAGTACCTGTGAGAGAAGACAGGTCTAGTTAACACCACCCACTGTGGTCTTTCTGTTAAAACTCACTGCCACTGAGTCGGAACGGACTCACAGCTGCTCCTCCAGCTGGTTTGGTTTCCAAGGCTGTACATCTCATGGGAGGAGACTGACTCTCTTTTTCCTGGAAGCCTCTGGTGAATTTGAACTGCCAAGAGCCATGCAACTCTCTCTGGATTGAGTCACCAGAGCTGCCTAGACACCCAGAAACTAAGACATTATACTTCGGCACCTCACAGCCCAAATCCTCCCTGTCCTCCCGTCCTGCTCTCAGAGGTGCAGGTCCTCAGGGATGCTCTCTGGGAAACCCCTCTGCCTCTTGCATCCCTGAAAACCAGCTTTAGGTGCACACTGAACTGATGTGTACTAAAAAGGACCTGAGACCCTGCCCGAACATGTTGGTGTCAGTCGTTTGGGGTGGTGGGGCTAAGCCTGTGTTTTAAATACGCTTTTTGGTTTTTTTTAATTTTCATTCATTCATTGTTGCATTTTTCTCCCTGCCCACCCCTCCCCCCTAGTTCGCTCTTCTCTTTGAAAAGTAAAAAAAAAATTCCTTCATTGGTATACAATCCCCATCTCACCCCGAGTACACTCCACTATGTAACCTTCATCATTCTGGACTCTTGTCATAACCATAATACCCAATCATATTATCGCTTTCAAACAGTTCTCTCTCTCATCTGTTTCAATGCAGTCTACATAATTTATCCAGTTTTTCTCAGTCTCACTCCAACCCTGATGTCCGTCCCGTTCTACAACAGTGGCATAAATGAGTATGTATTTCTTATAGGAGAAAAAAAAAATATAAACAAACAGAAGATACTAGGAAGCTAGTTCTCGTAAAGGTGGAGTCAATGAGGGTTAGGCAACGGGGGGCAAGGGGGAAATACATTTCAATGTAAAAGTCCTGAGGAGGTACAAATGGTTTGTTCTTTGCTACCAGACTAAAGGTTGGCAGTTCAGATCCACCCAGTGGTACCATGAAAGAAAAACTCTGGTGATCTTTGTGTCTCAAGATCATAGCTCAGAGACCTCTCTGTTCTGCTAACACCCAGGGTCTCCAGGAGTAAGAACTGACTCAACAACAACAGTTTAAATTAAGACCAGACAATTCAAACCATGCATTGCACTGGTCTCGTGGCTGAGCACAGCGTCAAGGTTTACTGTTTACAATGGCTTTCCCAGTCATTGACCTTGATTTTGCACCTGGATGGACGTGAACATACAGCAGGGCATGGCAGTGTATCCACAGGGGGACTGGCTCATCTCGTGGTCTCACTAGATTTAAAGGAAGCATTTTCAGTGTCGGAAATTGGGAATCTCAATGCTGAAAAAAGAAGAGAAAGGAGTGCAGGTCCCTCAGGGTCAGACTTCCTATACCAGCCAGACCAAGATCTACATAAGAGCAATAGTAGCCTTAACAGCTGACCACCTACAACCAGGAGAAGAGACAATAGATGCATGGGACCTTCTAAGAATCAAACCCCTATGCACATCCAAAAACTTCTCCAACAGGGTAAAAAGAGAAGCCACAGGCTGGGAAAAAGTATTTGGGAATGACATGTCAG